CGAAATTGGATTGGACAATTTTTATATTGTCTTTATTTATTTTTATTAGCCAATCAGAGGATTTTTATCCATGCTTCTTTGAATACTCGATTAATTCTGTAATTCCGGTCAAAATTGTTAATCATTTCAGTCAAATGATCAACATATTATTGGGCTGTGCAGATCAGCTGATGTAACATATACTTACGTACGTACTGTACGTGCTTTGATTAATATCGATATCAATATACTCAGACTAATTCAAAACGAACAAAAAAAAACGATAACCTAAAATCAAAATAATATATTGTGAATAATAAGAGGTAAACCGTTTATTTTTAAGGTTAGAATTACATTTAATTATAATTATGTAACTTATAAATTAAATATATTAACAGATGGTTATTGCACAATGCTATGAAAATTTGGCCGGTATTACTAAAGTTCCGTACTACATATAGAGCTGATCTTATATGTCCAAAATTACACAATTTGATTTTAGAATCTACAAGATTACGCACGTATATACGAAGTTTTCTAGCTCATCTCAAATATAACTACATCTGGTTACAACGATATTGTTTAAATTTTTGAACCTATATATTAATATGACATGCTTCTGGATTAAACAACATCTGGATATATCGAACGTTCTTTGTTTTTTGGAAGTTTCGATATAACTAGAGTGACGTGTACTTGATTAATATGTAATTTTCCTATCAAATTCATATTTCAATCAAATTCATATATTTTGATCCATTGTTGATATCTCATGATCTAGTAAACAGATCTTAGTAATTTTGGCATCATTTAAATCTTCTTGTTGAATCGATTCGAATAATATCTAGATTATCAAGATTTAATCACTAGATCACGAGATATCAACGATAGATCAAAATATATTAATTTGATTGAGATACGAATTTGGTGGGTAAATCACATAAATAATAATTATTATATTCAGGGATTATTTCAAAGTAAATTCGAAAATAAGTTAGAAGTGAGTTGATTAAGTACTTCGATCGATCGATGAAATAATAATTCATATACAAACCAAATCAACAAAGTAAAAATGAAGGTATAGTATAAATTGTAACTATCAACGAATATAGTAACAATCTAATTGTGTTTATAAACCGATTAGTCTTTCATATTTACGTAATCACCATAGTTAGATGATCTCGCAAAGCAACCTATATGGTCATAAAACGATCAATCGTTCCTTCGTAATCATCATAGCTTTGACGATCTCAAAAAAGATTGCTTTTTGTGTTCATATAACGAATAATTTCTACTTATTATTTGGAAATTATAATCATTTGATGAATTTAAATTACCACACTATCCGCAAATTATTGATGTATGAGCTATACGTATTGTAAAGAAAGTCGTATTACTATTGTTTTATTATTAAAATTCTATTAACTACTTTTGCAAAATTTAATACATCTAGGGAAATAATGATCACTGCTAAAAACAAAAAAAATAATCACAATCAAGATCTTCATCCAGAACACAGAAAAAGCATTTAAAAAAATCGGAGCATGAAAAAAAAAGCTGATGATGTAAGTGCTTCGCCTGGGGCATAACAACACCAAAAAAATTTCAGGAAACTGGCCTTATTTCACATGATGGCTGAATTATGAGAATATATAGTCGTAAAATTTTGAGACATTATTAATTATTCTAGAAAATTCTATATAAAAATTTTTACGTACGTAAGTAAAATATTAACACGTTATATCATTACTGATAACTATTTATCAATCATAATCGACTTTGTACCCATTTTTGTTACCGAGTTCTAAATCCTTATGTTTCTTAAATTCTTTTAATTCTTCTAGATCTTTAGAAACTTTGGATTTTCTTAGACCGTATTCATGCCATTGAAAACGCCATTTATTTCCAAACAGAGATATTCCGTTTATACCGCTTGTATTGTTTCTTTGTAATTTACGATTTAAATTATTCAATCGATGATTTGTTTCTTGTAAATTACAAATACGATTATCCATACTTTCACGATTAATGTGGCCAACCATTTTAAATTTAGTGATCATACGATGGAAATAAACATTTTTTCCGTTAATTCTAGCACCGACGTAGTATTTGCCTTCAATTTTATGAACATTCCATACGTGTTTTCTAATATGTTTATAATTTTTCATATCACAAAGGAAAGTGATTCCATCTAATTGAGTTTTGACTTCAAGGAAAGTTTCACCTTTAACAGATACTAAACGAGTTTGGTTGTAAACTTTTTTGTTATTTAAACTATGTTCCCATTTAGAGAGGACCTTGAAAGACGAGAAAATCTCATTCCAATAAGACATATTGAAAGTCTTTTAACGAACTAATTTAATTAGAGGAAATGTTCTTGTTTATTTGCAAAATCAAGAAAAAAGAAAACGGTGAATACTGAATGAACGAGAAAAAATCGTGGATCTGTCGATCCGATGATACTTTTTAATTATAAATCACGAATTACGTCATTATTCATTGTTAATTCTCGAAAGTCACTCTCGCATTTGTCACAATGGTGCTATAGTCACATTTTCCATTGTAAATCTTTTGCTTGTATTAATGGGACGTACCGTACGTACTGTAATTATGAATGATTTTATGTTTTGTACCAATTTAACAATAATGAACAAAGAAGGTAAAGCAATTACACTCAGAGCATAAGGGCTTATAATCTGTTATTGATTTGTAATCCAGGTAGTAAAGTTTGCTAAGAAAATTTTTTTTTTTTTGAATATATAAAATAGATCATAACAAATATTGTAAATTTAACGTTTTCTTCTCTCACATTTGCACATAACTATAAATTAGGACTAGTTGAACAATTTTTTTATATAAAAAAGAATTTGTATACGGTAAAAATTATTAAATTTTACAGTATCAGTAATTCTATAATATAAAAAAAAAATTGTGTAAACTTACTGTAATTTACTAACTTTATAGGCATAAAAAAAATAAAAATTTTGAAATTACGCTTTTTATATTCATTCATACTTTTTTATATTGATTTTTGCATATGTCAAAGTTTATTATTGCGAAATTACATTAAATTTAGTCTAGCCTCTTTTTAGATTTGACTCTAATAAAATGTATTAATCAATTGAATATAGAGTAAGATCGTCATGGTGCAAAAGATTATTCCAAGTATATTGGCTTTTGTAGACTTTAAAAAGACTTGTACCAGCTTAGCTGTTTGTTAGAATTAATCCGATTAATGAAAAATTTTTATGCTATTTAACAACCATTAAATAAGTTCTAATTATATAAGAATTATTATTATTATTATTATTATTATTATTGTTGTTGTTGTTGTTGTTATTGTTATTATTATTATTATTATTATTATTATTATTATTATTATTATTATTATTATTATTATTATTATTATTATTATTATTACAGTATTATTATTATTATTATTGTTGTTGTTATTGTTATTATCATTATTATTCTATTATTTTGACTTATAAAACATTTATCTAAATTTGTTGAGAAATTTCCGAACTTGCTCGCTTTTATGCATTTAGAGATTAGAATTTTAGACGAAGCTTTGCCTCACTATTTTAGTAAAACAATTTTATTCAGAGGTCAATTATTCTACTTTATTAACGAAGAACAAGTAGCTTTTTATACACTCATGACAATTACAAGAAGATTATTATATAATACTTTTACAAGACTTGATTAACTAGTGCATTTTATGATGAACGATTCATATTTACCGCAAGCTGCTGATTAAAGTACCCGTGTTGTGCTTCTAGATTATTATAGGAAAAATTTAAAATTTTATATTGTATTTTAGAGTGTCGTAATTTCTCTATGTGGTATCTTGGATACTTCAGTCAGCAGTTTACGGTACATATACGTTACATATACGTTACATGTTACAGCGCTACCCCCACAATTTACCAATTTATTTTAAAAAACTTAGAGGGAATTAGTCGGCAATGATAAATATGAAATAAAACCTTCAAACTCTGAACTTTCGCTACTTGAATGATTCATTGAATAGTATAGTGGGGATTTTCGATTAATATTTACGAATCCATGATATTCACACTCATTCATAATATTTATTAATAGTGGACATCCGAGTTCATAACCCTCTTGTTTTTTCTTAACACAGTTTTCAAGGATTGAATGAAAAGTCCCATCTTCTTCACATATGATTAATTTTTTAGAATTGTCTTTAAACATTGAAGTAAAAGGCATATTCAGATTTATATTAAACCTCATATTATTATTCCATTTTACCTTCAGTAAGCGAGGTCTATTATCTCCCATATTAATGGCGCTATAGTATAACATAAAATAAATAAAATTTCAAATTTAATTAATAAATAAATTTTTAAGAAAGCGAAAATTACCTGTAAACTACTTTTAGAAGAGGAATTTCATTAAGAACGTTGTCAATATTGTAGCTGCTGTCAAAATTGCGAACAAATAAGCATGCTGTATTGTCTGGACGAAAGTGGGTGCCGAATACAATTGATTTGTACAGGTTGTAATATCTAGATGATATAGGGGAGCGAATTACAATTATTCCTAATTTGCTACAAGTTGTATTTGGAGTTGCATTTGGAGTTATATTTGGAATAGTGAATATATAAGAGCGATTATTGTTTGTATTAACTCTCTGCATTTCTTCAACCATTTTTTCACAAATAGTAACGTCGATTTCATTATTTCTTTGTTCAAACATAAACTTTTCTGGATAACCAACAATAATCCAACTAATTTGTATTTTGTAAAATTTCTTTTGCTTTTTGTACGGTTTCTTTTTCTGGCCAACATAATGAACAACAAATACTGGAGAATATTCGTCCGCGTAATCAACTCGTAAAGAATATATATGGTCATCTTGGTTCATTATTGACGCAAAAATCTGGCATTGGGATGGGTTCGAGGTAAGCTCTCTAAATATATTACTTAAATCATCTACTATAATTGGTTCTTTGGACAGGTATCGTAGATCGATAGTATGTGTTGTTATTCCAGCTGTTTAAACATTAATAAGTTTTGCTTATGTTAATTTTATCTTTTTTTTCGGAATTTTTTGACAAAAAATTATTACCTCTAAGAATTTTTTTTCCAAAAATTTCTAGAATTTGATTTTTTAAATTGACATCTAGCAAATCAATTATTGGTCTTATATTGTAAGAAATAATTCTCCAGTATTTGGAATTGTTAACTGAATTTCTCCATGACCTAATAGCTTCATTATTATCCTCAATATAAAAAGCTTCATTTCCACCGACAATTGTTAACTTTTTTTTTGAAATATCTAATAACTCCGATGTGATTCTTTGGAAATCATCACGAACCGTAAGAGTACTAGTGATTGCACCCATGTTTGCACCCGTTTTTACACCTATACCAGCCTTTTCGGAATCTTATTTATAGTTTAAAGTATAAATAATTGTTTGAATTTGGTTAAATAATAAAGTGAATGATTATCTACCGTTTCTTTTCGTATTAGTATTCTTAAAATTCACAATAATTGCTCCCCCGTAAATAACTTCACTGGCATAAAAATGGCCGTATTTTCGAAAAACCTTTCTAAGTTCATTAATTTTCATATCATTAGTATATTCATCGTTTAGTGCTGACTTTATTTCGTTAATGAAATCTTTATTCAATATGATAGTCTTCTTATCAAGGCTTAATTTTGCTTGGCATATAATGTCGCATAAATATCTGGTCGTTTCATGACGGGATTTATAAAGTTCATTTGCTTGTTTATAAGAAATTCCAGCAAATAAAGACAAATAAGGTAAATAAGGTAAAGGAGAAGTTGCTGCTATTTCTCCATTTACAATAAGACATTCTTTAAATAAACTATCGAATTTTTGTTCGCATTTGAGTTCCATTTTTCCGGAATAAAGAGGATTGAATATTGGATTAATTTTTGTTACATTGATTGTAAATGCTTGTGAATAGGCGAATTTAATATGCTCTTTTTCGTAGGTAAATCCCATATCACACTGCTCAATTAGTTTATTCCAATCTCTATCATCTTCTTGACAAATTTTTAAATGGAGTTTGTCATCAATTACCCAAGCTATATCTGCCCAATCAGTAGAAATTTCCGAAAAACGACTAATTTTTTCATCATCAATATGATAAAAATTTAAATTCGGTCCCATTTTAAGAATTGATCGAACATAATCAAGCTTCCTGTAGGTAAATAACCGTACAGTATATTTAATGACACTACCTGAATGCAGGTGTTTATGAATAGTGACAATTGTACTGGATTTTTGGTTTATAAGGGTTTTTTTCTCATCAAGTGAAATGCGCAATACGTTATTCGTTCCAAGAATTCCTCCTAATGTCGTGTGTTGTTCTCCAAATTCTGTTACAGGGGTTCCATCCTCTGATAAGAATTTAAAAAATCGTGGGATAATTTTAATTTGTGACTTTTCGCGTATATGCAACAATCTCTTGCGGATATTAAATAGATTATCATCAAGATTACCGAATTCACATTCTATAGGTCGATTTCCAGTGACATTAATTTTAACTTTTAATATTCTATTCAAATAAATGATGCCAGACTTATGGTCGATTATTTCTGATAGTTTTAGTTTAGTGCTGTATGGTTTGTCGTGTTCAATATTTTTATCAAGATTTTTTAAAAAATATTTATATCTAGGATCCTCAAAATTAGAACCTAATTTTTTTATTATTTGGTGATAAGCCTCAGAAAGGTTTAAATTTTCATCTAAGGTTATGCTATTGTGAGGAACAGAATTAATTACTATTTTTACTTTAACTTGAGAATCCATTGTATTGTTTTAAATTGACTGAGAAAAGAAATGAAGCAAAAGCGCAAACCCTTTTATTTATATCGTTTATGTACTTAATATTTATTCATGATTCTTGATATTGGCTTTCGTTACTTTATGATCACCTGGCGATCCTAAACAAACTTCTAATCACCTGCAATCCCATACAAATTTCTGAATGTGGTAAGAAATTTGGACGCATGACCAAGGTTTCCGATTCTCCGTAAATAAAAGTGACAGTGTGTTCAACTATATGGGGACACAGTAAAATAATACGATTAGTAATATACAATAAATCAGGGAGGACACCAGAAATTAAGGTAGTACGTCTTGTAGGAAAAAAAAACAAAGAAAAAAGGAAAAAAATTAAAACTATTTCGTTTACTGTATTACTGTATATTTAGTACGTATACCGTAAACTGCTAACTCTTGTATCCTAAAATTTACGAAACTTAAAATCCCACTATACGTTTCTCGTTCAACTTTGCCAGTCTTCAATGTTTTACATCAGCTAGATATTCTTCAAAGTATAAAAGTTGCTATTATTAGGATATAATATGGATAGTACGTATCCGGATTTTTTCTGCAGAATACCCCCGGATACAACTCTGGTATACAAGTCAGCAGTTTACGGTAATATTTAAGATTCTACACGCTTTGTTAACCCTATTAAAACTTCCATACGTGGCATATACGTATGACATATTGCGCAATATAGTCATAATTTAATACCTCAAATATCCTTAATATCGATTAAGGTTTGTACTAATTGTTAGTAGTGTTACAATATCGATATGTTTGAAGTACGGAATATAAATAAATTGTACATTCTTTTTAAGCATTATTTGTTTCATTAAAACAAAAGGTTTTAGAAGAATTAAATACACAGTATAATAAATTCACTATTTCATATGTATGTAATCTTTCAAAAATATTTAAACTGGCCTACCATTATTGGTTATCATCAATTGTTCATTGTCATTGCCATCAACGTCTTGCTATTTCGTTAGTTTATAAAATAAAAAATAAAAAGCAATGCAAAGTGATAGAAATAAGGTGAAAGTTGTATTTAATTCTGGTCATTATGTTACAATTAAATTTGAGAGTGATCCGACTCTTTCTGAAGCCTATGATCAAATAGTGAAAGAGTTAGGGTCTAATTTTAACGATCCTAGATATAAATTTTATTTCATTCATCAAGACAAAGAAATTGGTCGAATTAAATTTGGACCGAGAAATAAATTACCTTTTAATAAAAAGGTGTCTGAAATAATAAGCCATAATGAGATTATCATGAAAAGAGAGTTATCAATTATTTTAGATGATGGGAGAACAACCGAAATATTTACGCTTGATAGTGAACTTAATGATAAATTAAGTAAAATCCGTGAAGAATTAATCAAAAATGAAATAGTTAAAACTGAAAATTTTAAATTTCTAAAAGATTCACAGAAGAGTGAAGATCTTGAAGAGGTTCAATTAAAATCTGAAGATACTATTATATTAGAGGAAATTATTAAAAATAGTGATGTGATTCGAATTTCGCTTAACGAGAAAATAGACCTTATTGCATCAGAATCATGTAGGTTTTTGTGCTTCTTGATAAATAAAGACAATTTACCGTGATTAAAATAGAATTGATCAAACATAAAAAATTCATAAATTTTATTTATTACAGCTACGCAACTCTTTTTCAATGAAGAGTTATCAGTATCTTGCGACGATGAAGAGATAACGTACAAATCACATGCACTCGCGTCTTCCCCAAATGGAATTGAAAAAAACGAATATTTCAAACGAAATTTTGACTCTTGTAAATTGAACTATGGATTAGTCTTTGCCAGAGAAGGTGTAAAACTTGGAAATTGCCGATCCTTTAATTTCATTCAATCGATTGAATTCTCTACTTTGGATGATCAAAATAAATTTATTGCAAAAATTTCAGTTTATGAAAGAATCAATGACTTTTTCTTTGCAAAAAATCAAATTGATCTGACTTCTGAAGATAATTTACCGTCAGAATGGCATAAATTGCTCAATGATGAACAATATTCTATAACTCAGTGTCATCCTTTATTTGATAATAAACAATTTCCTGACAACAATGGGAATATTTACTTTGCTATTAAGAATCAGAAAGTTGAGTTGAATTTGAGAAAAGAGTTGATTAAACCATCTAAAGAGTTTAGGAATGCAGTGAATAAAGCCATTGAAGGAAAAGATCCTTATTCAAAATTGATGGATGTTTTTGCAACTTTTGGAAATTTCCTTGCCCAACGTATAATATTAGGAATTAAGTTATTTAAATATGTTAACAAAGATCATGAATATTATGAGCGCATCAAAGAAGATAGCATAGAATGGGAAACTTTTGATGATTTTAAAGAAAAAGAAAAATTAATAAAATTAAAAAATATGCTAATATATCTCGATAAAAATGATGGTGATTATTTTTTGACACCAAAAAATGAAAGGATTGAGCATGATAAGCTTAATGTATGGATTGAACATTGTCACAAAGCTGATGTTGAATTACAGATTATCAGTTATGGAGATTTAGTCGCAATTTATGAAATTTTTGAAGAACCGATTCGTAGCAAGATTAAATCGATTCTTGGAATTTATGAATATAAATATTCTTTGTCAGAAAAGGTTTATCTTGAACATTTACAATTATCTGATGTCAAACAAAAAATATTAATGTCCGGTAGCGAGCAAGTTGATGAATCTATAACATATCATCGAGTTAAATTTAAAAACCAATTGAAAAGTTATGATTACCAACTTTATGGAAGTATCACAACAATATTTGGACAACCGATCAATGAAAAAATTATTAAATTTAAACTAGCAAACATTTTTGGATTTTCAGTGTTAATTGAAAACATTCCTGATATAGTGTAAGTATAAAATGTTAATGATTAATGTTCAATTCAAAACTCAAATTAATTTTATATTATTGTTTGTTTTGTTCAGAACTACATATACTGGAAAAATCAACATTAATTGGATGCTGGTCGGAAATCCTGAAGACATTAAAAATTCATTCGAGGCTGAAAATCAAAAAAATATTGAAAGTTTACATAGAAATTTCATTCTCGTAAAAGTTGATTCTCAAGAAATTGATCCTAATAAGGAAAATGTTAAATTGCGTACATTTTTGCCGACACTTCCAATAAATGCAGTTTTTGCTTACACATTTGAATATTCTTCATCAAATAATGAACCACTACTTTTAGCTTCTATTAAATCCATTGATGAGAAAGGTATTCAACTAAATATTCAAAAATTTCAAAGCGTCTCTAATCCAAATGATTATGAAAACGACGATGATAATGAAAAAACGACATTTGAACTTGAAGAGTTGAAAGATGAAACAACATATAAAATGCATTGGTGCATTTATCTTACTACAATTCAAAATATTGCAGTTGGACAATTTCTTTCTAATGAATGTAAAGAACTCAGTAAGGTAATATTGTCGTTACTAGACTTTAACTTATATTTATTTCTGAATAATTATTTATTAACGATATTTATTTAGAAAATTAAATTGCTACAAAGAAGGCCCTCGGGAAAAAAACCAATTAAAAGGCGATCTAAACCACGATCGGTTTCGAATGTTCAAAAATTCAACTACGGAATTTGTAAACATTGTGGAGAACCTTTTACCGGGATCGATTGGTGCAACAAGTACCAGGCAAACTATTTTCGCAATAATTTTAAAAATTGGACCAGCAAAAATGACACTATTGATAAATTTATTCAAAATATTCAACTTTGTGCTCAGAACAGTACCCAAATTATTGAATGGGTAGAATATTCGGATCTATATAATATCAGATGTATAAACGAAAATATAAACAAAAATGGTAATAAGATTTATTCGGCCCTTTGGATGAATGGTCCATTATTAAGCTGGAATGGAACGGTTAAAAAATGGGAAAGGGAAAATGAATATGAAGTGGCACTGAAAGTTGTAAAGGATTCGTCAAAAAATGTTGAAAAGTTTGTAAACGAGGTATTGTAATCATTTTTTTGTATAAAACATACTGTAGTATAGGTGATTGATTATTACTTATACTATATCTTACGCGAATTATTTTAAAGTTGTACTAATTATTAATCATCTTCGTGTGCAATCTACAGATAAGTAATAATGCAAAATGCAACGGACAACCATATTTAATCAGATTTTACGGACTATCAAGAGATCCTGAAACAAATGATTATATCATGATCTTAAAATATGCAAAATCTGGTAATTTAGAAGAATTTCTTTCTAAAAAACCAAAATTAGATCTAAAAGAAAAATTAGCACTTTTAACACGAATATCTGAAGGGCTTAGAGATATTCATAAAGAAAGAATTTTCCACAATAAACTTCACAGTAGAAATATATTAATTGATGGTGGTAGGCCATATATTAGTGATTTATATCGTGACATCCAAATTAACGTATCTTTAGAAAATTCAAAGGGTGTCATTCTTTATATTGCACCTGAAATTTTATCAGAAAATAAATATTCTCAAAAAGCGGATGTATATAGTTTTGGATTTATTATGTATCGTATAATTTCTAAAGTACCGACCATTGACTTTAAGTTGGATTCAAAAGAGTTCGTTTCTAAAGTTTCTTCTGGAGAAAATCCAAAATTTACCGAGATTTCAAAAGTACTGAAAACTGATTTTAAGCTAGATTCAAAAGAGTTCATTTCTAAGATTTCTTCTGGAGAACGTCCAAAATTTACTGAGGATATATCGCCAAGGTTCAGAGATTTGATCACTAATTGCTGGGAATCGAACCCTTCAAAACGTCCAGAAGCTGAAAAAATATATAAACAGATCAAAGAATGGAGAGAACGTCTTGAATAAGTTTAAAAATGAACATTAAAAGAATTGTACAAAAATATAAAATATAGTGAGACAGTAGGTTATTTCGTGTTTTATTTTTATTTTTTTTTGGAACATTTTATTTCGGGAGGAAAAAGTACATATTGTCATAAACACTAAATCTATGTAAAGAAAATAATACGTATCTATCTAGAAAAGATTCTTTTTTGTTTTTAATTCTCACTAAGCTTATACAATTCTTGTTATATATATAAAAGACTGTACTAACAGACACTATACCTAGTTTTTTGACCATTCAAATATTAAAATATTTCGACATATTTTTATTTGTAATATAGAAATATAACCAATAAATAAATAACACAAATTTGGTATCCTTTCATGAATTTTAAAGCTGTAAAACGACAGTAGCACTATGTATTACTTCCAAGTGGTTGTATTTTTATGTTTTTATATATAAGATAATATTAATAACAATAATTTTTTAAGGTTTATAATTTTATCAGATTATAATATTTGTTTACAAAAAAAACTAAAAATTTTACTAAGCTAACTAATTATTATACTAAATACTGTAAGATACAAATATGCATGCATAATATCATATTTCTTATTATGGCACTTGCGAAAACGATTTAGTGGTCGAGGATTAAACAATAATGACATGGCTTTACGTATCTATTAAAGCTTACAATTTACAGTATAGCCTTATTAAATTCGTCACATAATTAATTTGTGACTTCTGGTTAAATGCAACCGACCATGACAATATTTCTCATTTCTAGAGATAATATATAAGGATGATCGATCAATTATAAGTCCTGTAATTTTGAATTGAAGTTGGATTTATATTATACGTTCCAATATATTGTATTGATTTGTGTACCAGGAGAAAGTTTAAGCCTATCGGTACGTTATTGATTCTGTATTACACATAGCGATTGCCTCCTGAACTTTCTGTTCAGCTGCTAATTTTAGGTACATTTCTCCTTGACCTTTATCTGCAGGAACATATATTCCGTCATATAAAATTTTGCCGTAATTATACATTGCGTATGGATTTCCATTTAGTGCTGCCTTTTTAAAATATTCTATTGCCTTTATATAATTTTTATCGATTCCTTGACCATTCCATAGGCAATAGGCGAAGTGTAATTGAGCTTTATCTACATACGATTGCAAGTTAGGAGTATTGCATTCATCAGCACTTTCTTTAAAGAAAGTTGCTGCCCTACATGCTCTAAATCTTTTTTCAGTATCATCAATAGGTTGATTATGTCTCAATATGTTATGGTAAAGGTATAAACCTGCCCAATATTTTGCTTCTGGATTTCCAGAATTTGCGAAATTGATAAAACTTTTAAATGATTTAGCTTTATCACCATTGTCTTTATGATGCTCTTTAATAGCATCTTCTAGCGAAAGCTCAGATTCAGATAGTGGTTGATCAATGATTAATTGGCTTTCGTATTCAGATGTATCACGATCATCGGTATTTAATCTTGGATGGAATATTTCGTATACTTTTGATAAATCCTCTACAATTTTGGAAAGTTTAGATCGTTTTCTTGGATCGGATCGAGTGGCTTGTGAATCATATAAAGTATATAAAGTATAATGAGATTAATTACTGTAAAACAGCTAATAAACTGACGTTTAAATGTAAACCAGAACGTTGTTGTTACTTTCTTTAAAAATCTTTTTCCATTCGGGTGGAACTTCTGTAACGAATCCTTCACGAACTTTCTTTTTTACGATAATATCGGCAAGCTTCTTTATATTGTCTTCTTTTTCATATGGCATTTTTTCTTCAGCAATTTCCCAAAGAAGCATTCCGAAACTATCAACATTAAATTTTAATACATTTTATCGTAAAACCATAATAGAATTAAAAATTAAATACCTAAAAATTTCACAGTAATTATCGTATTTATAGTTTCTGCTATCCAATTTTTCTGGAGCCATATAACGAATAGTGTCAATAGTCTCATTATGATTTCTTGTAGCTTCATTAAATCCGCGACTTATACCGAAATTAGCAATTTTGGCCTTATTATCCAAAGTTATAAGAATATTAGCAGAACGAATATCATGATGAAGGATATGCATCGAGTGTAAGTATATTAATCCACGACAAATGTCAATACTAAATTCTGACTTTTTATTCCATCCAAGGCGAGGATTTTTAATATAATAGTTTCGTAGATTGTCATTATGTGCCCATTCAGTGACAATATGTAATTTAGAATTGGAGATAAATGTTCCGTAAAATTTAATAACTTGTGGTAGGCTTCGAAGCATTTTGAGGATCTCTATCTGCTTTTTTATTTGTTCCATCGATGTATCGGGGTGCACATTCATATTTACTTCCTTAACAGCAATGACTTTATTAGGATCTGAAACTTTTGACCACTTTCGAATATGTTGCCCACGAGTTTTATCTGGCACCATTCTATATCCAATTATTTCGAATGTTTCGTCCTTTAGATTATCCAATGACTTAGTCGTTGTTAAAGGATGAATAATGTCCGTTCTATTATTTATCAATAACTCGTTAAACTCCTTAGTTAATTGCACAATCAAAGGAATTTTTTGTAATATCCGACCGTTTTCATCTACCATATCTGGATTATTTTTACGAAACTTATATTGTTATTATTAATTAATGTTAGTATATATAATATTTTATTACATAATAAAAGTGGAAGTAGAACTTAAATTGATTCGAAATTATTAAGTTATTATGTTTTTCAATCTAAATGAATCCCAAATCAACTTTGGTTCCGTTCCCACTGACAAACATATATAAATCATTAAATATGCTAACATATTATAAATGAACAAACTCACTTTGTCTATTTCAGCAAGATCATGTTTTAACACAAAATTATCATCTATTGTAATTTGAGATACAAATTTTAACTCCTCCGAATACTTATCAAATTTTCCAATCAATTCAGTGAACTGTTGTTGAATTTCTTCGTTAGATTCGAAACTGGCTAATCCTTCTATTTGTGAACTTCTTTTAACAAAGTCCACAATTTGAGCGATAATATCCCTTAAATCAATAAATTTTTGAAGAGTTCCTGGTTTAGCCAAAAATCCGCCATTTTCCTCCTTATGGAATTCAAGTTCTTTCACATAGTTATTTGCATTGGTAACTCTCTCCATAAGGATGTGGCTTACATTTTTGCAATAATTGGCTTCGCCGTTAATTTCGATTATTTTATCATTAGATTCCTGGATGTCGCCGATTATCTTTATATAATTCCCGAAAGGCCCTTGAGATGCACCTATTTCAGTTATGGCGATATCCATTGATAATCATTAAAATCATAATAGTTTGATCAAAAGTCTGAAGGATTGTTTATTAGTGCACTTCAATCTTACGCCTTATTAAGAATTTTTGTTTTCTTGATTGACATCCGTATGTATTACGAGTGTGAGTACGTATTACGAGTAACTTATCAAATATAGAATTCATTTATTACAATATTTAATTTGTATCATTTGGGGTGGTGTCAAAAATTTTGGGGTAAAATATACTTTTGGTCCTGAGTGTCAAGTATGTGATACAAAATTGATTAGTATGATGAATCAGTTTCATCATCTCATCTTGTTAAAAACACTTCCGTATACAGATACTTAGATATCTGATATAATAATCTTAAGTATGTACGTATATGCCAAAAATAATTTATTAAATTAATATGAATACTATATTATCTACAGCCAAATCGTTTGTTAAAAACAAGAGTATGGATTTTGGCAATGTGTGTGGTGGATGCAAACGGATTAAGACGAATGATAAACTTTGGTGTCGCTACTGTGCAGTTGAGCATTTTCAAAACAAATATTCGACATGGACGAGTGGAAATAAAGATATTGATCTCTTAATTATAAAATCACACCTATTTTCTCAAAAATCTGATCAAATAATAGAATGGATACCTTACAAACAATTAGAAGACATACAAAATATGACGAAAGGGGGTTATTCTGCAGTTTCTTCTGCAATTTGGTTAGATGGTCCTATTGAATATTGGGATTCTAAAAGAAGAGAGTGGTCAAGAAAGTCTAAATATCGTGTGGCTTTGAAATTTATAAAAAAGTCTTCCACCACAAATGATAGAGTTTTAAATGAAGTAAGTACCTTGTTAATTCATACAGAATAATTTTTTAATAATTATTTAATAATATTATTTTAATAGTTAGGATGTCATATTAAATGTAATGGGCAAAAATATATTATTCGGCTTTATGGAATTTCCAATAATCCAGAAACCGATGAATATATAATGGTGATAGAATATGCAGATTCTGGGAGTTTAAGGAACTACTTAATAAATAAAGGCGCGACATTAAGCTTGAAAGATAAGTTAAAGATTTTTGAACAATTGGCTGCAGGGTTAAGTTCTATTCACGAAGCGGGACTTATTCATAGAGACTTGCATCCTGGGAACATTTTAGTGAATAATAATGTGTCATATTTAAGTGATCTTGGATTGTCCGTGCTCACTGAACGATTATCTTCTAATAACATTTGTGGTGTCACTCCTTATATAGCAACAGAAAGTGTTAAAGAGAAACTTTATACTAAGGCTTCAGATATATATAGCTTGGGCATAGTGATGAATGAAATTTATTCTGGTGAACTACCTTTTAAAGGCACCCAACATGATGCGCGTCTTTTATTAGATATTGCAAATGGAAAGCACCCAGTAATTGATAAAACCATGCCATGCATACTGAAAAAGTTAATAGAAGGATGTTGGAATAGCGATCCAAAAATTCGCCCTACGGCGAATGAAGTATTAACAACTATATCAAATTTGATTAAAAATGGTCTTTATAATTGCAATGATCCTTCTCACACTTGTGATGATTCTACTTACGTTGGCGTAGAAGAAGCCCACAATTATCCCGTGTACACTCATTCAACTAATAACTCCACGGAGCAAAAAAAGACTACACCTTCTTACTCAATAGAGACAACGTACTTATCAGGCAAGTCATCATGAATATTTTTAACATCTTCAATTTCTAATAATATAACATGTTTTCAAATTTGCTATTATAGATCAATATTATCCATATTCTAAATCCGATCAGCAGCTAGAACGACGTTCATCATATCAACAAAACTATTCAAGTGCATTAAACACACCAACGTCATTTTCACAGGATAAATCACTAGGTAAGTCATTGCCTTTACTTTTACTTTTGTTGTACATACATATGTCTAATTTAATATAAACAGCTTCTTTAGATCATAATCAAGTTCAGAAGCTAGAAATTGAATCAAATAATGCATTTGCCCTAAGCTGTCATGGTGCGTTTTACCACATGCTAGGCAGATATGAGGAATCACTCGCAGATTTAACTAAATCATTGGAAATTGAACCAGATAATACATTTACATTGAGAAATCGTGGAGCAACCTATCACATGTTAGGGAGATATGACGAGTCACTTATAGATTTGGATAGATCATTAAAAATCAAACAAAATGATCCATTTGCGCTAAGTAATCGTGGAGCGGTTCATAGGAAAAAGAATCAATTTAAACTATCCCTTAAGTATTTAAATAAGTCATTAAAAATTGAGCCCAATAATGCATTTGCACTAAGCAATCGTGGGGCAATATATTGCATGTGTAATAGGTTTATTGAATCAATCGAAGATTTAACTAAATCATTAAAAATTAAACCAAATGACGAATTTGCCTGGAAATTTCGTGGAATAGCTTGTCGAATGTTAAACAGATATGAGGAAGCAATCGCAGATTTAACTAGGTCTTTAGAAATAAATCCAATAAATGTATCAGTATTAGGTGATCGTGGAGAAACTTATTTATTAATGGGAAAATATGAAGAATCACTTACAGATCTAACTAAAGCATTGAAAATTGATCCAAATAATGCAATTGTGTTGAAAAATCGTGGGACAGTTTATCGCATAATGGGTAAGTATGAAGAATCACTCGTGGATTTGAATAAATCATATGGAATTGATCGAAGCGATCCAGATACATTAAGAGCTCGGGGTGAAACACATTATATGATTGGCGAATATAATAAGGCATTTAAGGATTTTAACGGCTCAATAAAGATTGATCCATTTAATGAAGTTACCTTAAGAAAGCGTGGAAAAATTTATTGTATTATGGGAATGTATGATGAGTCACTTGCGGATTTAAACAAGTCATTAGAAAGAGAACCAATTAATGCTGATACTTTAAGTAATCGAGGAAAAACTTATTGCATGATTGGAAAATATAAAGAATCACTTGCAGACTTGCATAGATCATTAGAAGTAGAACCAGATAATTCCAACACATTAAAGGATTGTGGTGAAACTTATTATGTTATGAACAAATATGAGGATGCCCTTATACACTTAAATAAATCATTAGGAATAAAATCAAACAATGTATTGGCATTAAGAATACGTGGGGCGATTTATAATAGCATGAACAGATATGATGAAGCACTTGCAGATTATAATAAATCGTTAGAACTAGAACCTGAAAACACAGAAGTACTAGGAAATTTGGGACTAACCTATTGTAATATGAATCGATATGATGAAGCACTCTCATATTTAAATAAATCATTAAGTATGAATCCAAACGATGAATTCACATTAAAAATTCGAGGAGTAACCTATTTTAAAATGAAAAGATATGATGAGTCACTTGCAGATCTAAACAAATCAATAGAAATCGAACAAAATGATATATTTGCCTTATGCAAACGTGGAATAATATACCAAACTATGAAAAGATATAAAGAATCACTGGCAGATTTAAATAAAGTATTGGAGATAGAAAAGGATAATTTAGAGGCGTTAAACTCTCGAGGAATTACTTACAGGATGATGTATAGATATAAGGAATCACTTGCAGATTTAAATAAATCATTAGAAATCCAACCAGATTATTTACCTTCTTTAAAACATCGAGGAGAAGTTTACTTAATAACAGATGAATTTGAAGATGCACTTGCGGATTTTAATAATTTATTAAAAATTAAATCAAATGATGCAAATGCGTTGAGAGGTCGCGGTGAAACTTATTTTATGATGGACAACTATGAAGACGCGATTGTGGATTTGAATGAATCCTTAAAAATTGAACCAAATAACGCACGAACATTGAGTATGCGTGGAGCAACTTATAAGAGAATGAATAGATATGAAGAAGCACTTGTAGATTTAAATAAATCATTAGAGATTGAGCCAAACGATGCATGGACATTACGTGAATTTGGATTAATATATTATATTACAAGTAAATATGAAGAATCACTAGAGTATTTGAATGCATCGTTAATAATTGAGCCAGATAATGTGTTGGCATTAAAAATTAGTGGAACTATTTATCGAATATTAGGAAAATTCGAAGAATCATTAGCAGTTTTTGAAAAGTTGTTAGAAATAGAACCCAAAAATGGAATTGCTTTAAGAGAACGTGGAATAATTTATCGAATATTCGGTAAATATGAAGAAGCGCATTTAGATTTGTATAATTCATTAAGAATAGGGCAAAATGACGCAATTACATTAAGAAATTACGGTGAAATTCATTGCATAATGGGAAGATACAAAGACGGGATGATGTATTTAAACAAATCACTAGATAAGGATCCAGATAACGCCTTTACATTAAGAAGTCGTGGAATAACTTATCAAAATATGGGTAAATATAAAGAAGCGCTTGCAGATTTACACAAATCCTTAGAGATGAAACCAACTAATGCATTTACATTGAGAAATCTTGGTGCAACCTATCGTGTCATGGGTAAATATGAAGAATCAATTATGTATTTAGAAAAATCATTGGAAATAAAACCAAACGATACATTTACATTGGGGTATCTCGGAGAAACTTATCAGATGATGGACAAATATGAAAAATCTCTCGTATTTTTAAACAAATCATTGGACATAGAACCAAATAATGTATACGCATTAAGTAACCGTGGAGTAACCTATCGAATGTTGGGCAAATATGTTGAGTCCTTTGCAGACTTAAAAAAGTCTTTCGAACTAGAACCAAATAACGCAATTGTATTAAGAAATTATTATACAATCTGTAATATGCTGCGTAGAGAAGACGAATTATTGAAAAGCAATAACACAACCGCGCCAAGAAATTATGAACCTTATCCTATGATAGGTAGTTATGATTATTCATGATTATTCATAAGATTTTTGATAAATTAAAATTTTAATCTTCAATTTAGAAGACAGTAGACAAATCAATACCACGGAATTAAATCAAGGTATCTGTCTTTATTATTTGATAAACACAAGTCTTAATATACAATGGTATTAAAGTTGACAATTCACAATATTATTCTAGCTCTACCCAAGACAAAATTAGAACATGAATAGAATATGCCAATGGTAACATAAATAAGGAGTTTTGACAAAAAAGATCAAAATGTTAATATATTAATAATGATTTTTATCTTTAAACATTAAAAGTTAATGATTATGCACATATTTCGCTATATTATAATTTTTTTATTCAAATACAAGAATGTTTATTTTCCAAAACGTAGCGGAAAATTTAATAAAGAAAAATAGACCAGATTTTATCAAGTATTATTAAATGACCTGAAACAAAAACATAGGAAAAAATGAATAAACCTATTGATTAATATGGCCATTATGCTTACACATTATATTGTCAATTTGAATGCGGAATATTACATAGTACTAATGAACGGCGAACCTTCATCATTGACAAGTAGAGAAACTTTCCAACAATCTTATAATATAAACAAATTGGTCCATGCACGCCATCTTGTATCCATTTTCTAATTTTACTTTTTCTTTTATTTGCTTTAACTTCTTGGAAGTATTTGAAAAGTCTGATAGTAAAACTAATAAAAAATTATTGGCTTCAGATTTCATGTAATAAAATTTACTATTACAGTATTATATGGTTTTGTTTTGAAAGTTCAGCTTTTTTGTAACGAACTGATGATTTGATAGAACAAAGTACGGTGTCAATTATTAAATTATCACATCGTGTATAGACTGATTAAACATTATCAATCATGGGAAATGTCCCCAGACTTAAATTACTTATAGATCAAGTGAGATGACTCACTCTAATTTGTATGTAAATTTTTGCAAAAAAAAACACTCAAGAAAGTAAATATAAAGAATAATTTTAGATATAGGATTTATATTCTTTAGCATTTTCTGAATTCTTTTGCAAAATTACAAGTTTAAATATTAAGTAGTTAGAGAAGGAACTTAAGTTAAAGTTCTTAAAATTTTTTTTTGTTCTCTATATGTTTTTTAGATCAAATAAGTGACTCACCCCAATTAATAATATGATTGGTTAAAATAATCCTTTAAAGATTAATGAAGGTTCTACTAAGTAAATGTTTCTTTAGCTCTAGCAAAAGTTGTAGAGAAGGTTTTTCTGATTCTAATGGTAATTGCTATCAGCTTAGCCTTGTATAAGGATGGCAAGTTAAAGATCTTTGCGGAGAAGCTATTGATTATTTGATTGTCTTTAACTTGTACTCATCCTATTTTCATAGAACAATTGCTTGTACTTATATTCAATACAGATCTATCTATATAAAATGTAAATAATTAGAGAAGTGTAGTTAATTTGTAGTAGAAGGTAGAGTAAGTGGTGATTAGTATTAATATTATATTGCTAATGTGTAATAGAAAGTATATTGGTGTGCTTAAAGTTTTTTCTAATTTGCCAATAATGATTTTATTTTGTTGATAGATAAGAACCTGTAGTTTTAACTTTTTTGGTATAGTGCTTGAAAGATAGATAAATAGGTTAGAGCCTGGTAGTTGGTATTGTTTATATATAGTGTAAAACTAAGTATTGCTAATTACTATATTCTCAAGAAGTAGAACTAGTATAGCATTTTCCTTTTAGAAAATATTAGAGTTTTGGAGAAATATGTTGCTATTTTAGCAAATATTTGTTGTCTGCTAAGCTAAGCTATTCCAGATAAAGAATATACTTGCTTCAAAA